GCATTCCTATAAAAAACATGTTAATTAACATTTAGATATTCAACTATTAAGGCCTTATTTGGCCCTTCATTTTCTCTGTTTTTTTTTTATATTTAATAACATATTTGTTTAAAATTTTTTATTTTTTTAATAAATTAATTTATCTTTAAAATATTTAAAATATTTTAATTTTTTAAAAATTAATCATCGCAAGATCATCGTGATCAACCACTATCACCATAGTCCACTATTCTTCTACTTTCATATTTCTTACCATAGTTACCATCTTGATTGGTCACTATGCATTGTAGTGCCACTATAATTGCTCTAATAAACTTATTTATATTCAATGATAAAATTTTTGTGTTTATTGCGAGTGAATTATGCTTGATATTTAATGGTTTGATATGAAAAATAATTGTTGGATAAATAAAGGACTAAAATACTTTGGATATTTTATTTAATTCAGGAATTTATGTATTTGAAAAAATATGTCTTGTTGAGAATTATAAGCCCCCAAAATACTTTGAGTATCTATTTGAAGAAGGGCGGGGTTCTACTGGAGTATAACCGAGGCCAGAATTTATAAGATTCTGTCTAGGAACCAAAAAAGAAATATTGTAGAATTATTAATGTAAACTTGGAATTTTAGTTTAATTAACAAAGTATATATTGATTTTATAGTTGATGCGCTTGATTATGTTTGACCCAATATAATGATTATTATATATCGCAATTAACACATTTAACTACGTTTAAATATAATAAAAAGTATTCATAAAAAAAAATTTGAAATTTTCAATAGCTGTTAGCTTACATATTTGAATTCCCAATTTTTTTAAGATCTAGGAAAACGGGAATGACCTGTTATTAGCAATTCATGCATCATTATTTGAAGTCTATATAAGTTTTATTCCTATTGCCTGATTTTTGTACTTCATGACTTAACTTTGGTTAATATTATCATGCTCTCATTATGCTATCATATGAAAAAATGTGATTAATGTATATACATTTTGATGCAAATGAAAAAGATTTTTTGGAATGAGTTATTTTCAGCTACTATGTGATATTTAGTGACCTGACATATATAGTTAGGTGGTCTATTTAAAAGGTAATTAGAAGAAAAATCTAAAATATTTTCAAAAACTAGATCTTGAGATTATCTCTCACCTCAACATGATATGACTTAGTCCTGTTGGGTGGTTGTTGAAATAGGGGGTGTCATGATTTACACAACCTAAAAAACTGACCAAAAAATTTAAGTCTGAATCAACCCCGTTTAAAAAATGACGAATCAGGTTGGGTTTCATATTCTGCCCAGATTATAATTTTTGTCTTAATCGGGTTAACCTTCAAAATACCTACTAAAAAAACAACGTTGAAATGATTATTGCTCCTCACACTAATGACCTAAATATCCAATGTAACATTTCACGCCATCTCGTGCTCGTCCTTGAAATTATTCTCTGTTTATTACATCTCACTCGGTGCTAGTCCATCAACATCGACAAGCTGCTCGCTAACTTGACAGCCGCGCGCTTCGCCTCGCACGATCACTTTTGCTCCCTCGCCATTACACACATTAGTCAACACGTCCAGTCGGGCTGGCAAGAACTTGCAACTCATTTATCTATCAGAGTCAGGCTCGGGTAGGTGAACTAAAACCAGTTAATCTGGTTGAGATCCAAACCCCAATTTGATATCCCTATGAAAGAGATCAATAATATTCATATACTATATTGTGTGGTGTACTTGCTATACCAGTTTCAATGGGGTGCCAACAAACCATACAAACTCATTCTATTCATAAAGAGATAATTGTATCAACTCTTACACTATTTGCATATGAAAGGTTATATATATATATATATTATAATATATATGTAATATATATATATATATATATTTTAAATGATATGACTTTTAAGTATTTATAATATAATAACTTTAGCCTTAAGAAGTATTTTCAACTCGCATAGACCTCCACTCCTCCCACCGTAAGTTTGCCAAGTTAAGTTAACAGCATTAGCCACGTACAGTGAAAGGGACGTTGTGATGACGGCCGCCATGCGTCGATCGCTGGCGTATTTCGTCTATGCGCGCCCACCGGCACCCGCCCTTACCCTCAGCTTAAACGAGGGAAGTGCTCCGGCAGTTCCTTATCGAGAAGAACTTCCAGTTTGACCTCGATCAGCAGGCCTGCGATCGACTTCAGTCTGCGATGTACGCCATTTCCTTTCCCAAACACATCTCGGCCCCCCGTGAAACGCCGGACTTAAACGCGCTCATCCGCCTGAACTCGCCGTCGACCCCAGCCACCTCTCCGGCATTGAATTCTTACCATCCTTCCCCCATATCCCCGTCCCCTCCATCCTGCCCATCGCGTACGCGTTGTACGAAAGGAACGACCCTTTCTTGATCTCGGTCCCATCGGGCAAAACCTCGTCGGCGCAGCAGACCGCCGAGTTGAACGGAACTGGCGGGGAAAGCCTCATCGCCTCCGTCACCGCTGCGTGCAGGTAATGCATCTGCCGCAGTTCGTCCAGGCCAAGGCCGCAGCCGGCTTTGCGCACGGCCGCCACCTCGGCGAGGATGTGGCGTTCGACGTCCGGGCGGGAGGAGAGAAGCCAGAAGAACCACGTCAGCGCCGAGGAGGTTGTCTCGCGGCCGGCGAGGATGAAACTGATGATGATGTCGCGGAGGAACTCGTCGGAGTTGTTTTCCTCGTCGACGATGAACCGTGAGAGGAGGTCATCTCCCCCGCCACCGCTGCGTAGACGTGCAGCCTTTTTCCTGGAACGTATGATCTGCATCGCGAACTCGTGGACGATTGCGATGGACTTGCGAAGCCTTCTCTCAGACCCAACGTCGAACGCCTTCTTAACCCTCCAGAGAACAGGTACCGCATAGCGGAATCTCCCCGCGCTGAGCTCGGCGGCGTCGCCGAAGGCAGCGGCGAAGCCGCTGGCTAGACCCGTACGGAAGCGGGAGGGATCGAGATATGCTGGGTCCACGTCGAAGGCTACCTTGCAGATGTTGTCGAAGGCGAAGCGCTCGAGAGCGTCCTGTAGGTCGATGGATCCGCCAGCTTCGGCTGCACGGTGGAGGAAAGGGATGAGGCGGGTGGAAATCTCATGACCAACAGTACGGTGGACGAAGAAGCGTAGGGAACGAGTGTTGAACTCAAAGCTGGCTGTTTTTCGCTGAAGGCGCCACAGGGCGCCGTCGGAGTTGAAGATGCCGCGGCCGAGGAAATCGTGGAGGATGGCGCGGAAATCATCGCCCTTGGGGTAGTTGTCGAAGTGAGATTTCAGCATGTGCTCGACGTTCGCCGGATTCGCGGTGATGACACCGCGGATACCGCCGGGGCGGTGGAAGACCAACGTGTTGGTCGGAGAAGCAGCAAGGAGATCCGTCGACCACTCAAGAAAGCGGTCGCGGTGGCGGAGGAATTGGGGAAGGTGGCCGATGATGGGGTAGGGCTGCAACCCTGGCGGGTAGTACGAGTTTTTCTTAGGAAAATTCTTGTTGGATAAAAAGAAGAGGAGTAGATAGATTGAGATGGCCGAGATGAAAGCCAAAGGGATTGGAGTAAGCAGAAAGAAGAGGTCTGCAGCCCAATCGATTTCCATTTTCTTCCCCAAGCGAGAGCAGGGAAGAACGAAGTTATAACTTAGAACGTCGCGATGAGGTATATATACTGAGAGAATAATACATGAATACTTATAATACTTGGAAATAAGGCCTATTTTTAAAATAAAAATCTTAAATTATTGTAATTGTAGGTAAATTGATGAGAAAATAATTTAATTGAATTCTGCCCGGCCAAGAATGTCATATCATTGCTTTGCGTGTTCAACGTAACTTACATCCAAGGGTTTGATTGTCTGATATGCAGAGCTTAAATTTATTTTTTATATTCATATTTTTTGGTTGCTCATATAAAATATGACTAATAAATTTTACATCACGGTCGGAATTAAGGCATTGGGGAATATCATATAAGCGTACAATCTTGTGAAAGAAAAGGCGAGCAATGTTATGAGCATCAAACATCTTTTTTACGATTAGTGAGTGTGGTAATTTTTGAAAATTTGTGCAGCACCACCATGACTCCATGAGAGAGTCATTTCCTCATTTTGTTCATGGTATGTATGTCCATTATGAATTCTAAGCTCAAGTCCTCCAAAATTAAATCAGAGATGGATTGCGGCAAATACAAACGAATATTTTGTTCATTACCTTTATACATTTGTAAAATGGAACGTGTCTCCACAAATAGAATCACATCATGGCACAAGCGAGGCCAGTATAAATGAGTTTATAATTGGGTTCATGTCTTGTCACGTCCAATATGTGCAACGAGGCCCTACATAAATTCGCTGAAAACCTTGAAAAAAATCTACTGGAAATCAATGTTTTTGATGAATTTCTGTCATATAAATGAGCGTAAAAAACGAATTAGCGACAGATTTTTTCTAATGGATTTTTGGCGAATATTAGAATGGGAAAACTCCTTCTTTTTTTTCTTTTTCTTTTTTTTAGAAGTAATATTTGCGGCTTGATGAGAGGAAGGTTGGTTAAAACAATTTATTAGATTGGAATTATTGACAATAATTGGTTTATTCTATCTCTCAGTGACTTACGTCCAAACACCATCTTTATCATCATAATCTACCCCCAGAAATCCTCCTTTGATTCTGATTATTAAAGAAAAATTATGTACATGTTATAGTTTTTTTTTTTTTTTTTTTTTTTTTTTTTTTTTTTTTTTTTAGAACTAACAACCTAAATATTTGAAGTTATAAAAAGCCCAAAATCTAAGAATATTTATTATTTTAGAATAATCTTTCAACTCTAAATTAAAGATTAATAATGACTCTGTCTTATACATGAGAGCAAAGGAATCAGAGATTGTGTCCAGAATCGATGTGGGGCCCAAGGCAGTCTGCCAGAAAATTTTAGGCCAAAAGAAGCCAGAAAATGAATAATATATATGGAATAAATTTAATAAAAAAAAATGTTGAAATGAATAGATTTTAAAATTTTTTAAATAACATGTAAAAGATGCATCACTATTTTAGTATATGAGGTTCTGAGTCCAAGTCCTCCCAAATTAAATCGAAGATGGGTTGCAGAAAATATATACAAACCAATATTATGTTCGTCACCTTTATATATTTGTTGAAATGTATCTCCACAAATCGAAACACATCATGGCATAGGCGAGGCCAATAGAAACAAGTGTTAGAAAAGAATAAGCGACATTTTTTTTTTTCGGTGGATTTCCAACGAATATTGGAATGAAAAAAACGTCATTTTTTATCACCAAAAAATTTTCGCGAGTGTTATGCTAGAAATTTCGACAAAAAATTATATCAATAGCTTTGTGTAGAATTCCTTGTATCAATCTTCCGACGAAAAATTAGTCGGAAACATATAGCATAGGAAAAAAACATCTCTTGCCAATTATTATTATTATTAAATCTGACAGTAGTTAGTGGCCGGGCGAAAGTCTGATGACAATCGACGGCCGGCGAAAGTTCGACGACAATCGGTGGTCAGGCATAAATCCGACGACAGTCGGTGGCCGGGCAGTGGTCAAGGAGAAGCTTAGTGGCAAGAGATATATTAGCTTTCTTTTCCTCTCTGCTCTTCTTTCTCTTCCTTAGCATGTCACATTTGAAAACCATTTGGTAATCCAAATTATGATTTGAACCTTCTAAATGCGCTTCAAGTCTTCAATTTTGACCCATTTGGGCTTGGATTGGGTCAATTTTAATGTCGTTGGGTTCGTCTTTTCAAGACGTTCAATTCGGCTATAAGTTTGCTAAAATCAGAGTTTTGTTGGTTCCAAATTTTAATTTCAGAAGCTTTCAACTCAATTGTTGCCTCAAGATTTGTGCCCGATCCTGATAATTTTTTGGTGATATGTCAAAGCTATAACCGAATTCTTCGTACAAACATTAAATCAATCAAACCTGGTAGATTCATAGGTATAATCAACACATTTCATTGATGGAATTTCTTGTGATGCATAAGTCTAGTACAAAAATTGTATGCATAAAAAAATTTATTATTTATTAGCTAATTTAAGGGTTGTTTATCTCCAAAATTTGAAATATATAATGTATTTAAAATATAATATCAAATAAAATCAGGTATTTTTTTTTTTTTTTTGTGCATGGTTGTTTGTAAAATAAATTTAGGGGTTTAGTGTTTGGTTTCTTGCAAAATAAAATCAGTATTATTGTGTTTGAATGTGTTGGCCGTTGAAGGTGGTGCTTTAATCTAATAAGCAAAAAATAAACTCAATCACAATTTTTTTTTTTCATTTATCTTCAAAATATACATACAACAAAATTTTTACAATACATTACATAACTACGGACTAGAACAAAACAAATTAGAGAATAGTCATGACTGCACAAAAATAAAAAATAAAAACCAAAAAAGTAATAAAAAAATACACATACTCAAAAGATCGTAACTTCCAACATCAGCCACTCAATTGGCTCCTTATTCATTCACTGCCCTAAAATAGAATATATAATAGATGTGAGCCAACATAGCTCACTAGATCACATCCATCGATCTAAATTTTTAATATCTTATCAAATGTGCATTTATTTATTTAAAAGCAATTAATAACATGCTATATAATGGTAACAAATTATATAAATTAAAGGAATTTTGCACTGAAAGTGATTAAACAAGAACTTCATATCAAATTAAAAAATGACATATTTCTTTTAAGCCCTTATGCCTCCCATCCGAAACAAATATCATTATTCGAACCCTTATGACTCCATGTGCTAGTATATAAAAAACGGACTCTTATAGCTCTCAAATGCTCAGCATAACAAACATTCACAAAATTTAGATCCTTATGACTTCAAGTGCATGCAACACCAAAAAAATTTCTTCCAACATCAAAATTTTAACAAATCACATATTTCAAACAAATAAGCATATATATAATTGCATTGCGATAAAAAAAATGAAAGTAAATAAATATAAATAAATTACAAAATGTTACACCGATAGCCCACAGGCTCAACAAATGTGTAAAATTTTATGATTATTGAATTTTACCAGTTTATCAAAGTTTGTTCATAAAATTATTTTGAAGTTTTCAATGTTCAACGACTTTATTTTTAGATGTTAGGATTATTTTTAATTTGCTAATAATAATTTCTAAAGAAAAAACCAAAATGTCTATAGTACTCATATATATATAAAGTTAGACAATAAATGTTTAACTTATGTGCCGCTATCTCCATTTTCATGACCTAAATTTATACGTTTAATAAAAAAAAATCTCAAAATTACCGCAATACTTCCTTCCCGGAAAATAGTCACTACCCCACCAAAGACTTTCGTGCAACCCTTATGTCTCCATCTCTCGAGTCGAGCTCAATCTCTAGCAAGTAGCCTTCTTTGACTTTTTTTCTTCTCCACTTAATAACTAGCTAAAGCTGGTCAGGTTATTGATAAGGGAAAATACATTTTTTTGTTGAAGAATTCCATCAATGGATGGCTAAGGGAAGCTAATTGACTTTGTGAAATTGGAGTTGGACGTGAAGAATGTGATGCCCCAAGATCTAACTTGGAAAGAATGTCA